TGATACTGGTCCGGGGAAACAGTGATACATGTTGCGTTAACTACAGCTGAAAGGTAGATTGAGGGAACCTGCTGGGAGAGTTACAGCACAACAACAAACATATCCAGGTAGTGCAGGCACAGGTACACACTGCACACACTGCACACACTGCACACACTAGTTGGTCTCACTGTCAGCCTCCTTTAGGTGAAGTAGGAAAACTTGATCAACATAGTACACAGAGGTATAGGTATTGCAGTCACAATCAGGCCATGATCTCCTCACACAAGGAACAAGGACATTTTTTCCAGGTTTGCTGCAATACTTGTGTCTGCATTATAGTCACTTTCCATTGCTACTAGATGACTGAAGCAGGTATACATAGGAGGTAGCTGCCCCTACTAGATGACTGAAGCAGGTATACATGGGAGGTAGCTTCCCCTACTAGATGACTGAAGCAGGTATACATGGGAGGTAGCTGCCCCTACTAGATGACTGAAGCAGGTATACATGGGAGGTAGCTGCCCCTACTAGATGACTGAAGCAGGTATACATGGGAGGTAGCTGCTCCTACTAGATGACTGAAGCAGGTATACATAGGAGGTAGCTGCCCCTACTAGATGACTGAAGCAGGTATACATGGGAGGTAGCTGCCCCTAATAGATGACTGTGAAGCAGGTATACATAGGAGGTAGCTGCCCCTACTAGATGACTGAAGCAGGTATACATAGGAGGTAGCTGCCCCTACTAGATGACTGAAGCAGGTATACATGGGAGGTAGCTGCCCCTACTAGATGACTGAAGCAGGTATACATGGGAGGTAGCTGCCCCTACTAGATGACTGAAGCAGGTATACATAGGAGGTAGCTGCCCCTACTAGATGACTGAAGCAGGTATACATGGGAGGTAGCTGCCCCTACTAGATGACTGAAGCAGGTATACATGGGAGGTAGCTGCCCCTACTAGATGACTGTGAAGCAGGTATACATGGGAGGTAGCTGCCCCTACTAGATGACTGTGAAGCAGGTATACATAGGAGGTAGCTGCCCCTACTAGATGACTGAAGCAGGTATACATAGGAGGTAGCTGCCCCTACTAGATGACTGAAGGAGGTAGGTAGGTATACATGGGAGGTAGCTGCCCCTACTAGATGACTGAAGCAGGTATACATAGGAGGTAGCTGCCCCTACTAGATGACTGAAGCAGGTATACATAGGAGGTAGCTGCCCCTACTAGATGACTGAAGCAGGTATACATGGGAGGTAGCTGCCCCTACTAGATGACTGAAGCAGGTATACATGGGAGGTAGCTGCCCCTACTAGATGACTGAAGCAGGTATACATAGGAGGTAGCTGCCCCTACTAGATGACTGAAGCAGGTATACATGGGAGGTAGCTGCCCCTACTAGATGACTGAAGCAGGTATACATAGGAGGTAGCTGCCCCTACTAGATGACTGAAGCAGGTATACATGGGAGGTAGCTGCCCCTACTAGATGACTGAAGCAGGTATACATAGGAGGTAGCTGCCCCTACTAGATGACTGAAGCAGGTATACATGGGAGGTAGCTGCCCCTACTAGATGACTGAAGCAGGTATACATAGGAGGTAGCTGCCCCCACTAGATGACTGAAGCAGGTATACATGGGAGGTAGCTGCCCCTACTAGATGACTGAAGCAGGTATACATGGGAGGTAGCTGCCCCTACTAGATGACTGAAGCAGGTATACATAGGAGGTAGCTGCCCCTACTAGATGACAGGAAGCAGGTATACATGGGAGGTAGCTGCCCCTACTAGATGACTGAAGCAGGTATACATGGGAGGTAGCTGCCCCTACTAGATGACTGAAGCAGGTATACATGGGAGGTAGCTGCCCCTACTAGATGACTGAAGCAGGTATACATGGGAGGTAGCTGCCCCTACTAGATGACTGAAGCAGGTATACATAGGAGGTAGCTGCCCCTACTAGATGACTGAAGCAGGTATGAGGGATGGGGTAGCTGCCCCTACTAGATGACTGAAGCAGGTATACATAGGAGGTAGCTGCCCCTACTAGATGACTGAAGCAGGTATACATGGGAGGTAGCTGCCCCTACTAGATGACTGAAGCAGGTATACATAGGAGGTAGCTGCCCCTACTAGATGACTGAAGCAGGTATACATGAAGGGAGGTAGCTGCCCTACTAGATGACTGAAGCAGGTATACATAGGAGGTAGCTGCCCCCTACTAGATGACTGAAGCAGGTATACATAGGAGGTAGCTGCCCCTACTAGATGACTGAAGCAGGTATACATAGGAGGTAGCTGCCCCTACTAGATGACTGAAGCAGGTATACATGGGAGGTAGCTGCCCCTACTAGATGACTGAAGCAGGTATACATGGGAGGTAGCTGCCCTACTACTAGATGACTGAAAGGTATACATGGGATACTAGATGACTAGGAAGGGAGGTAGCTGCCCCTACTAGATGACTGAAGCAGGTATACATGGGAGGAGCTGTAGCTGACTGAAGCCCTACATAGATGACTGATGACTGAAGCAGGTATACATGGGAGGTAGCTGCCCCTACTAGATGACTGTGAAGCAGGTATACATGGGAGGTAGCTGCCCCTAATAGATGACTGTGAAGCAGGTATACATAGGAGGTAGCTGCCCCTAATAGATGACTGATGACTGAAGCAGGTATACATAGGAGGTAGCTGCCCCTACTAGATGACTGTGAAGCAGGTATACATAGGAGGTAGCTGCCCCTACTAGATGACTGAAGCAGGTATACATGGGAGGTAGCTGCCCCTACTAGATGACTGAAGCAGGTACACATGGGAGGCATAAGCCACATACCACTGCTGTCATGACTGGAGGAGATTCTGTGTGGTTGTTGCATCAAGATGATGAACAAACCATATGTACACACTAATCAACAACTTCTGTCTTGAATGGATGGGCTTGGGAAAATATGACACCTGCACTGAGTTTTCAGATGATGAACTTTGATGCAGATAAGAGGTTAGCAAAAGTAGAAAAACAACATTTTGGAATTCAGTTTTGAGTCCAATTACACATTTTTCCTGGGCCCAAACAGCACCTCAGTACCAAGCCAGCTACGTAAATAGAGGCCGATACTAAAAGAATGTAGGGTACTAAACTGTACCTTTCCTTTCAGTGGCATTGTTTCAAAAGGAAGCTAAGGAGATCTTGATGACTGATACACAGCACAAGGTTGTTTGAACCTGAGCGTATTGCCATTACCGTGTGTGCAGAGTCACATCTCACAACAGTAAATATCAATTAACAGAGAATTGAAAGAAGTTATTTCAGTCAGTTGTACAAGAGGTTGGCATCCACCCAAACCATTTCTCCACGTGTAAAATACATGTTTGAGGTATGTGTGTTTACCTGGAGAGAAGTTTTTTGCCACAAGGGGAGCCTCAGATATGTTCACAGTTGTTACTGGGCTTCAAAGGCCTTCTACTGCTCATTTGGTGCATTTCTCACAGAGCCCTACAACAGGGAATATGAGCTGGCTTGTTACAAGGTGTTTTCTTGATCAGTCAGGAAAGTTTTTTGAGTTATTTCTTTCTGCATCTTTCTGTTTTAGTCCTTCAGGTTGGGAAGCGTTACCTGAATAGATAACATTATGTTAGAACACTGACAGAATAGTGATTTTGGCTTGTGAAACATGGTGTGGGATACTGTTTTTTTGGAGGTGGTAATACATAAATAATGGTTCATAATGACACTCCTTGAAGAGAGTTTAAGAGAGCTCAAATCCAGATGATGTTCATGTGTTGCACTTGGAGAAGTTTGTTTGAGAGATTGTATGCCAGTACTGACTTTGTCTGATGAAGGACATCAGTATATGTCCAAGGCCTCAGTGTCGATGACTGCCTGATGGGTAGGTTTGATGGGCTGGAAACACAGCCAGGTTGGTTCTATATATCACCACAGGTACATTCAATAAAGAATAAAGGAGATCACCGTACTACAGATGCATGATTATGATTGCTGTTGTTTGTTTCGTGCTTAAAGTTATGATATTTATTGAAAAGTACTAAAGATCCAAGGTTAATGTAGGTGCATCTGAGAGTGGGTGCTGTCCACTAAAAGTAACGTCCGCCCCCTGTATTCCCCATCTGGAGCTGTTTGAGGATGCTATCATCCACTGACAGGCCTGAAGTTGTCACATGAGACCCTGAGAGTGGAACTTTTACACCACTTCCATTCAGCACTCAGTGTTAAGCTTGTCACAAAGCTTGTGTCAAAGCAAGTCTGGTCACTTCTTTGGTTCTGTGATGGATGCAGTTGTTGGGGTTCTTTCTAATGTATAATGTACTCTCCGTAAGTTAGTGTACGTAGAAAAACACATTTATACTCATTGTGCACTTGGGACAAACAAAAGTCTTTTGATGTATTCTGTGGTCAAGCTCCACAGGTCTCTGTAATGTGTACTAAGTACCTAAACATCTCTGTATTGTGTACTAAGTACCTAAACATCTCTGTAATGTGTACTAAGTACCTAAACATCTCTGTATTGTGTACTTAGTACCTAAACATCTCTGTAATATTTACTAAGTACCTAAACATCTCTGTAAAGTGTACTAAGTACCTAAACATCTCTGTAATGTGTACTAAGTACCTATACATATCTGTAATATTTACTAAGTACCTAAACATCTCTGTATTGTGTACTTGGTACCTAAACATATCTGCATTGTGTACTAAGTACCTAAACATCTCTGTAATGTGTACTAAGTACCTAAACATATCTGTATTGTGTACTAAGTACCTTAACATCTCTGTATTGTGTACTAAGTACCTAAACATCTCTGTAATATTTAGTAAGTACCTAAACATCTCTGTATTGTGTACTAAGTACCTAAACATCTCTGTATTGTGTACTAAGTACCTAAACATCTCTGTATTGTGTACTAAGTACCTAAACATCTCTGTATTGTGTACTAAGTACCTAAACATCTCTGTATTGTGTACTCAGTGTATGTATTGTTCATGGTTTTGTTTCAGATATGTGTTCTGGGCAGACCAAGGCTCCAAGAAGATAGAGAGGGTGTGGTTGGATGGGAGTCACCGGACTGTGTTGGTCAACAACAACCTCCACTGGCCCAACCAGCTGGATGTTAGCTATGGCACGAGGTCAGTGGTCTAGGAACGCATAGTCCTTTTTAGCACAAGCATTTCCCTCTTTCGAAAATTGGCTATTTGTGGAAAATTCTTTCATATATCCTCCAATCATTATCCTTTATAGCACAAGCGTTTCCCTCTTTCGAAAAATTGACTATTTGTGGAATATTCTTTCATATATCCTCCAATCATAGTCCTTTGTTTTTAACAGAAACGTCATTATTAGGGATTTGTTTCCAAAAACACTCACTCACTCATGTGTCATTTACACCCGTGTAAGACCTAGAGATTTGGGTAAAACCAGTCATGTGTAGTAATGGATAGAGCATCTGTCATGAGAGTGGAAGTGCAGGTCAGATTCCCTTTCTGTTCTTGCACCAAAACACAATTGAAGATGATGCTTGTTGTTTCCCTGTCTGGTGTTTGGTAGTAAGGTGGTAAGATAAGGACTGGTCAGCTCAAGTCACCTACAGTGATACAGTCACCTACAGTGATACAGCCATAAGTATTCGTGATTTTGGAAATGACGTTTTTGCTAAAACGAATGGGCCATTTAGATTCGCACCGTGAGACACATTCAGTGTTCAGAAACGCTGATTTTCTAAAAATAGATTCCCTGTCATGTGCCTGTCACGTGACATGCCTACAAGTTATCATCTGCTTGTTTACTTCCCGCTCTGGCAATCATCTGCGCCTATTGGTCGTAAATCACATGAATTGACAACTGACACGAAAGAATTGATTTGAAAATTAAACAAAGAAGACAGAAAAATTACAGAAATTGCTCAGCTGTTGGATAGATCTTGGTCAACTATAAAAAGTGTGGTAACAAAATATCAAGCGACTGGCTCAGTGGAAAACAAGCAGCAAAGCGGACGAAGAAGACTATTCACTGATCGTGATCGAACGTCGTTGATCAGGTGTGTCAAAAACAATCGTCGGGCAACATTGGGAAATATTACAAACAAATTTAACGAAAATAAGACTCGAACATTCAGTGGGAGAACTGTCAGAAGAAAATTAAATTTGGAAAGATATAAACGACGGATTGCCAAAAAATCAGTGTCCATTTTGGGAAGTTAACTTGAAAAAACGCAGATTGTGGTGTCGGGAACGCAGGAATTTCACAGTTGATAATAACTGGAGTAAATACATTTTTTTCTGACGAAAGTCAGGTTGTTATTGGAGGTGACAAGCGTGTGTATGTGTGGAGAAAGGGCGATGAAGTAAACCGGCCGCATTTAGTGTGTCGGCCCTCGCAACGTAAAGTGTCTTTGATGATATGGGGGGGGGTGTCACCTTCAAGGGGATTGGAACTCTTACCCCAGTAAATGGTAACATCAATGCTGCAAAGTATATAGACATCCTTGAAAACAATCTTTTGCCAGTTATAGCCCGTCATTATACGAACGAGCCACATGTATTCATGGACGATAACGCTCCCGTACATCGGGCCAGAATTGTGGAAAACTACAAAGAAGGAAATGGTATTATTGACACAGAATGGCTCCCACAGTCTCCTAATCTAAATATATTTGAAAATATCTGGTTAAAAATTAAGAGGCGGTTGAAGCCCGTCGCACATCGCATCAACAAACTTTACACGGAAATTCTGCGTGTGTGGGAAAATCTCTCACTGGATTATATTAGAGACTTATATCGGATTTCACCTGAGCGTGTACGGGAAGTGCTGCATATGAAGGGTCAAGTGACAAAATACTAAGGTAAGACTTTCAAGCGTTATCAAGTTACGCTGTTTTGAGTTTCCCTCCTTTTCCCATGCGCATGACATCATGAACGTCAAAATCACGAATACTTATGGCCAGGTACTGTAGGTATCTGAGTGGGATATCAGTGTTGGCTGTGGCATGGTATCTCAGTGAGCTACCACCATACCACAAGCACAAGTGTGGACTATGCATGCACATTGCTACAGAAGTGAGTTGATCTTTTACATGACGCCATGTCACAGCCCGTTTCACCTCACCTCACAGCATCTGAGTGCATCTGTTATAAGATTTTATGTCAGCTTCATAAAGCTGGAATTATGCTTCTCTCACTGTGAGACCTCTTGATGAGTCAGTGTGTTGACATCCTGCCAAATCGTGATGAAGTTTACCTAACCTGACTCCTGGATGTGCAGATCTGTTTTGATATCAGGCTTGTAACACATGTGGCCAGGAAATTGGGAAAACTGAGGTTTTGTTTCTTTGTGGGAATGTTTTTACAGACAAAGTATTAATTAAACGGACCCAGTGAGTTCAGGAGACTTTAATGTTGCATGATGGAGCTGGGAGGATCTTCTCGTCTGTCATGATGTACATCATAGTTGTGGAATTCAAAGATGAGATACGCCATCACTTCAGTCATGATAGCTTAATGATGAAAGTTTGTATGCTTCAGGAGTATTAGTCTGACTTGTGAACACATTAACATTGTATATACACTTCAGATCATTTTAAACAAGAACATTCTGACTTTTCCCAATTTTCAGTAATGGTAAGTTTGATTCATCTCATCATTCAATCATCCTTTTACCTGACTCAACGATCATGGTGACACACAGTGACAGGGCATTCTCTAGGTGGTAGTTCATGCAAACAACACAAATCTGTCATTTGAGTGTTTAAATTGATCTGGTGTGGTGGCTAGTGGTTAATGACTCAACAGGACATGTAGGTGTAGATTAGGCTCCCCTGTCAGTATGGTGTGTGAAACCTATTTCGGGTGTTCCCAGCCATGACAGAATATTGCAACAGTGTACATTGTAAGTGTCATGTACAGTATTTTCATACCCCGGAACACACAGAAAGATTTGTTCAGAGGTTCATTACAGTTAGTGATTACAGTTAGTCCTGCATAGATTTTAGTCACTGTGCTGGCCTGTATATGACTATGTTGTGTGTGGTTGACAGACGGCTTTACTGGGTTGACCAACGGAAACAGCACATCATGTCCTGCAACATTGATGGCAAGGATATCAGCAAGGAGCGAGACCTGTCCAAGATTGCCAACAGTGACCCAGTTTTTGGACTGGTGGTGTTTGGTAACACTGCTATCTTCAGTACATGGTTCAGTGCTGGGATCCACTCAACCCTTGTAGCTACGCGACTCAGCTGGAGGGATGAAACCATTGCAACACTGTCTGGAAGTCGAGAACTCTTCAGTCTGGTTGCCACCACTCATTCCATGCAGCCACCTAGTGAGTATGAGCAGAGTTGCCTCCCTTGATCAAGGAAAAAAGGGATGGAATTGATAATGGTTGGATGGGATTGAATGACAATCTGAAGTCTTTCATTACAGTGATCATTTGAAATATCTTTTTTATATTTATCATAAGTTGTAAAAGTAGTTGAAATAACTATCACATGCTTTTGATCCCATTTGGACAGAATGTGTTGATATGAAAAAGAGATCTCAATATTTGTGCCAGGAATGTTACTGTTTACAATCCCCATCTCACTGGTTAGGATATCATATGAACTAGAAAAGTATGCATTTGACTATTAGATATTAAACAGCCTGTTGAAACTTGTTAGGTAACCACCCATGTGGCCAGGAGGATCGCGGTGGGTGTTCTCACCTGTGTCTGCCAACAAGGGGGACCTCATACAGGTGTGCCTGTCCATCCTTTGGGGGCCTTGCACTCAGCTCCAACAGCAAGAGCTGTGAAGGTGAGAATTCATTTAAGAAGCAGAAGAATTCTTGTAAGATAAGTTCATGTTGTTTTGACATGTAGCAGTGCATTCTGTTACATTTCATTAATATTCAATGTTGAATATCTTTCTGAGTTTACCACTGTACAGCAAAACTGTCATGTTTTTACTTCAGGTTTGACTTTGTTGTGTGAATTATTGCTGTTTGTTTCCAGTGCCAAGTGAGCTGCTGTTCTTCACCCTGAAGAACTCGGGGGACATTGGCTTTATCTCTCTGACTGGTGGACAGTCACCTGACCTGACCCTTGTCGGTCGCAGCCCCAGTCCCAGCGCTGTCAGCTATGACCCTATTGAACAGGTTACTATCACTTATCATCCAAAACTGTGTTCCACTGGAGATGCTGCTTGTGTGAGATCAAATGATATCTCCTAGGAGATATCGTTTTGACAGTGAATATGTACAATGCCCAGATGTCATCAATACCATGAGATCACAATACTTTGACATCATCAATTACATGATGCACAATGCTATGACATCATAAACTTGATGACGTCACAATGCTACGACATTGCTGCACTGCAAGTCTAATGGCAGTACCATGTTCTGAGATGTACACTTTTAATTGAAAACTAATGAAGAGTGATTTTTTATGATAAATAGAATCTCGCCCTCGGGTCTTCTGATATCAAATATATCAACACTCATTGATAAAAGTAAGCAAGCCTCGGATATTTGTAGCTTCATAAACTCGTGTTGATATAATTGATCTCAGTAGACACTTGGGTGAGATTGTGTATGTACCTATGTTGTATGTGACACCTAATACAGATGGGTTTCTCTTGGTCCAACCAAAGGGGTATTGTAAAAGCTATAAGTCTTATTCCACATGCTGAAGAACCATACAAACCAATTATGCTACCTTACATTCAGTGCATCATATTATTGCTTGCCTCATAATCAGATGATGTGGTCATGAGTTACACTGATGATTTTGTATTTTGATGATGACTTTACAGTTTGTCTTTTGGAGTGACACAAAAGAAAACATCATCTACCGAACAAGTCTGGATGGGTCGGAGAGGGAGGTGTTCCTCAACTGTTCTCATGGTGTGGGTGTTGTTGATGGTGAGTATCATGTCTGGATGGGACGGAAAGGGAGGTGTTCCTCAGCTGTTCTCATGGTGTGGGTGTTGTTGATGGTGAGTATCATGTCTGGATGGGATGGAAAGGGAGGTGTTCCTCAACTGTTCTCATGGTGTGGGTGTTGTTGATGGTGAGTATCATGTCTGGATGGGTCGGAAAGGGAGGTGTTCCTCAACTGTTCTCATGGTGTGGGTGTTGTTGATGGTGAGTATCATGTCTGGATGGGTCGGAAAGGGAGGTGTTCCTCAACTGTTCTCATGGTGTGGGTGTTGTTGATGGTGAGTATCATGTCTGGATGGGTCGGAAAGGGAGGTGTTCCTCAACTGTTGTCATGGTGTGGTGTGTTGTGGTGATGGTGAGTATCATGTCTGGATGGGATCGGAAAGGGAGGTGTTCCTCAACTGTTCTCATGGTGTGGGTGTTGTTGATGGTGAGTATCATGTCTGGATGGGTCGGAAAGGGAGGTGTTCCTCAACTGTTTTCCATGTGGGTGTTGTTGATGGTGAGTATCATGTCTGGATGGATCGGAAGGGAGGTGTTCCTCAACTGTTCTCATGGTGTGGGTGTTGTTGATGGTGAGTATCATGTCTGGATGGATTGGAAAGGGAGGTGTTCCTCAACTGTTCTCATGGTGTGGGTGTTGTTGATGGTGAGTATCATGTCTGGATGGAGTCGGAAAGGGAGGTGTTCCTCAACTGTTCTCATGGTGTGGGTGTTGTTGATGGTGAGTATCATGTCTGGATGGGTCGGAAAGGGAGGTGTTCCTCAACTGTTCTCATGGTGTGGGTGTTGTTGATGGTGAGTATCATGTCTGGATGGATTGGAAAGGGAGGTGTTCCTCAACTGTTCTCATGGTGTGGGTGTTGTTGATGGTGAGTATCATGTGTAACACAGCTGAAAAACGCAACTGGTGTAGATAGTCTGAAAGGTCATGTTTTGATCTCTACCCTCTTACTTGATACATGAGCACCAAGTGTTTTCCCTCACATAGGGCTGGCAGTGGACTGGGAGGCCCGCAGACTCTACTTCACCAACATGGGGCATTCTACCCCGAGCCTTGACGGAGTTGTCTACTCCTGGCATCGCATTGAGGTCATCAGTCTGGACGGCCGCAACAGGAAGACGGTGGTCACAGATGTTGAGAGTCCTCGCGGTCTGGACCTGGATATCAGGAATGGGTAAGCCATTCAGACTATAACAAAAGTGTGGATTTTGCCAGCTTGTATGTTCCATTTTAGAATGGACTTGCCGACTAATTATATTATATTACCAATATAAGTTAAAATACAAGCTTTTGTATCAAGAATGTTACCTGAACTACTGATTATGTTTTTCCTGCAGTCAGACATGTGAAAGAATTTCAGTGTATTGCCAATAAATGAACGTCAGTCTTGATCAAGTTCATATCACACATTTTGTATCATTACTTTGTCTATTTACAGATTTTTGTTTTATGGGGATTGGGGCAAGAAGCCCAAAATTGTGGCAGCCTTATTGGATGGCTCAAAGGGGCAGATAATCCTTGACAGTGGCTTGTCCAACCCCAATGGGCTGACTTTCTACAATGGTCACTTGTACGTTGCTGACTCCAACTTCAACAACCTCACGTCCTCCCCTCACCTCATGGTGTATGACGTCTACACAGCAACATGGCAGCAACTGAAGCTCAGCACCAATGTGTCAGTAAGTAAACTGCATGTTCTCAGTAAATGGACTGGAGCAGCATTAGGTGTCAGCAACGTCCTCTCAGCATATGGTCATCATTACATGTGTAAGGGAATTGCTAGTTTGTTGCCAAAAGGTTGGTGTGGTTTGGTGCTTGGACAGATTAATGCAAACTGGCATTGAATACTTACCACTGAGTGTTTGTTTTAGCTGCCGATGGGTCTTGCTGTGCGAGGAGACACTCTGTACTACACTGACTGGGTTTCTATGGAGAGTTCCACTGGCTACCTCAAGTCGTATGACCTGCGGTATGGGGTGGACAACACCGTGATGTTGACCCGGACAGAAGCCTACTGGTCTCCACTACTCCCCTCTGGCCAGACGGAGACAAGGTGAGCTGTAGGCTATCTCACATCAGCAGCACCAGAATCTGACATGCTGTAGAACACAACATATAAAAAACAGAACACATCCTGGGAAAATGTTTGATTGTAGGAACTGTATTTGGTAGAGGAGATACTTCTTTAGGTTTTGTATATTTATGTTGGATAGAGCACATACAAGTTATTTTTTTGAGATTTGAGACCCAAATGCAAGGTTTTATCACTAGAATGAGGCTTTTTAATCTAAGTTGAAACATTTGTCCTTGTTTTTTATGAGTTACTTAAAAGGATTTAAGAGTCCGTGTATGAGTACCATTTGTAATGAGATTCTGGTTTTTCTCATCAGAGTAATTATTGAATTGCCATGTTAATTTTTAGAAGCTGCTGAAGGGTCATGTGAACATACCGGATGCAGCAATGAGTGTGTCCGAGTTCCATCATCACCTGCTCACCCTATGCAGTGTATGTGCCCTGACGAGTCAGCCAAGATCCTCACCAGCAACAAAGTCACCTGTGACAGTGAGTACAGCAAGCGTTGGAAAACTATGTTTAAATAAATATAACATCCTTTCTAAATGTCTGTAAGTATGTGTCAATGTGTGTAAAACTCTTGTATGGGAAGTACTAGAAACATGGGTACTGTGGTCAAATACACCCATTACCAATCTTGTCTCTAGAGATATGAAACTGTAGGGAGTGATACCATGAAATGTTCATGTATGTGTGGTGTCTCCTCTGCCCCATACAGGACCCCAGAACTTCCTGTTGTATGCTGACCTTAACACCTTGAAACTCAACAGCCTTGACCCTGACTCAGAGGAAGCAACACACACGCTGCTGTACAGCGACATCAAGAGCAACTTCATTGCTGTTGCCTATGATGAGAGAACTGACACCATCTACTGGAGTGACGTCAACAAGTCAGTCTGCTAGCTTTGGTCATCATTGATCATCTGTATAAATATCAATGTAGATCTTAGATCTACAACAGGGCAAGGTCACTGGGCCATCTATATAAAACTTGCTTTAACAACAACAATAGTCATCTAATTGAATACTGTTTTCAACACAGGTTTTTGTTTGTATAACTGTAACCAGGGTGGTTTGTTTGGAGAATCTCAAATACTGGGGAAAATTCTAAAGTGACAGTTTAAGAGCAATTAGCCATGGAAATAAAGAGTTAAGATATAAATCTTTATGATCATGACTTACCAACCAATATGATTTGAGACCCCTGACCTTGAATGTAGAAGATGTCAGTACAAAGTAACACATCATAAAACATCCCATGACAATGTGGTTTGTTTCAGGAGAGCTATCTTCTCATCTCCCTTCAATGACATCAGTCCCAAGCTGGTGTATCAGAGCACCCACTATGTTGATGGGCTGACCATTGACGGTGATCGTCAGAGGTTGTTCTGGACCGGCTACCTCAATAACGGTTCTGGCGTCATTGCACGCATCAACCTCCAGCGAGGGAAGTCATCCTACCATGAGATAGTCACCGGGCTTCACAGTCCCAGGGCAATTCTACACATCCCCAAGAAAAAGTGAGTGCATCGGAAGTGTCAGCGTTTGTTCATAAAGTCCTAAGACAACATTATTTGAGTGTGTTATAACCGTAGTTTGTTATAGGCATTTAGACCAAAATACACTGAAAGTAGTCAGGGCTACAACATAGTTCATTAGGGGTGTTCGTTATAAACATAGTTTACTGTGTGTGGACTACAAACAGTGAGGAGCTGAAGTTGCTTCCTTGAAGTATTTAACTCCTTTGTACTATTCTCAGCTGTGTATTTTTAACTGATGCTGAACATATAAGAGTTAACCTCCCTGTTGCAGGCTGCTATTTTGGACTGAGTATGGTACAAAGAAGTCTCCTCCAAGTGTCCACAAGTCTCGGGCCAATGGCAAGCACCACAAGGTGATCATGTCCGAGGGCCTTGTCTGGCCCAATGCCCTCACAGTGCAGGGGAACAAGCTGTTTGTGGGGGATGGATGGGGAAAGGTCTTTACGCTCAAGTTTGATGGTGAGAGAATCCACAGTCACACTATCTGATATTAACTTCTGTGTTTGAATTACAAACTTGGGCAGTGTAAACATTGACAATAAGGGAGTTGTCATGGACTCAATCATTCAAGAAATGTTAATATTCTGCTGTCATGAAAAGTCAGAAAATTGGAAACAGAAGCAGGCTGTTGTTATTATTGGATTGGAGAAGTGCCCATTGATCAGTGTAGTCCGTTGTTGCATAGAATGTAATTCTCACTGCTGTGCCTGTCAACTGTGACATCCCTGTTGAACCCTGCATGCGTGAGTGTGCGTCAGGAAGTTATCCTGTGCCTTGTTGTTCATCTCCCAGGGAACGACGTGAAGGAGTTGACGTTTCTCACTGGAGCCTCCTTCCACATCTTTGGCATGGTCGTGTTTGAGAACGCCCTCTTCTACTCAGACTGGCACACACACAGTGTTTACATGGTTGACATGGTGACTGGAGACCAGGAAACCATAGCAACACATCTCTCCAGACCTACAGCTGTTGTCATCTACCATCCTGCAAGCCTCAAAGGTATTGTGGACCTGTAAAGAATGCACTACCAAATAAGTATATTCCTTTTATTTTATGTTTGGTAACATTTTAAAATATTTGCAGGTTTTAACTTTGTGACTGGTGGGTTATTGAATGAAGTGAGTCAGGAATCATTTGCCATACAACATGTTTTAGAACATGTACAGCATGATAGGATTCTTAATTGCCTGAAGATGTCTCTGGATGAGTTTTCATCACACCCAATCTTAACAAGAGACTAGGAAAACTAGTGTTTTTTTTCTGTATCAGTCTAAAACATCAGCATTCAAATTCACTTCAGATGGAAGGTCCATGTTCGCTTTCATTCGGGTGTCTCTGATGGTGCCAGAACTTTGCCTTGGAGAGTTGTGTCCCTTGCGGGATCTTCAGATACTTGGTTTCAATACCAGATTGGCTCCAATTGTGATCAGCACCATATCCATGAACGTCTACATCTTCCTCACACTTTTGGTTATCATTGAAATGCTGTACAAGGGAGTGTTAAACCAAGGACCTGTATTGGTCAATCTTATGTGACTATGACTGGTTTTGTATGACACTGAGAGCCGAGCATCATAATTGTTCAGTGCAGTTGGAACAACCTTTTTGACTTGTATTACAGAAAACAGCCTGTGTACATCAAGTGAGGAGGAGCGTGTGTGCAGCAACATCTGTGTGCCTGTCCCTCGCTCATACCACTGTACCTGTGATGTGGGGTCCAAGCTGGCAGCAGACGGCAAGAATTGTATACAGAGTAAGTTGTGTCTTGAATGTCGCGGGTTCAGGCCTTAGTATTGCCAAGCAGACAAAACATAGGACGGAGATCCTTGTTTGTGTAAAAACATCTTGTTTATTGCCTGTGAATTGTGAATAATACAACATTAGTAATATGTTGTGTCAGCCATACATGTGTGAATGTGAATTCAAATTGTCATACGTCACAGGTGTAGAAGGTCGTGATTTTGGTGGTGAAGCCAAATACGGGTAGCACGTACACCTCCCTATATAACACAGTGGAGAAGCAGCCTTCTGATGGAAAGAGAGAAATAAAAGGCCGTCGGTGACATAAACATAATACAAACATCTGTAAAACATATGATCCATGATAATGTGTGATACGTCACCACAGATATCTACACATGTGGCTGTTATGTTTCAGTGTCCAGTCCCTGGGAGATGACGGAGGAGTTCCGGTGTGGCCAAGATTGTGGTGACAAGGCTCACTGTGCACAGCTCATCCCGGAGCTCAAGTACCAGTGTGTTTGTCAGGGAGGGTATCAGGGAGACGGCTTTGAATGTGAATGTGAGTAGCCAGTCAGGTTTAGGTTGCTATCAAGGGAACTGAACTTGAAAACTGTCAAAGTGATTCTAAGGGCTGGTTCCAGATGACGATTCACATGTTGTACCTGTTAGATTGATGATGGAGGCAGGGTTGGCAGTTGATAGCTGTTTTTATATGACCTTGAATATACAGGCAGCGGCCATGTTTGCTGACTAGCAGAAGTGACCTCATAAGTGATGATGTCATCAAAGCTTGTGCACAATACAATCAGCAGTAAGACTACTTACAGTACTTGCATATTTGCATTACTCTGCTGATGCAACAGTACCTTTTGTTATTAATTTTGAATGACATTTGTAATTGCAGCATGCGGCCAAGACTCATTCAAGGCATTCCTTGGCAACAGCACATGTATCCAGTGCCCTGTTGGCATGACGACCCGCGGTGCTACCTCCGCCACAGAATGTGTATGTGAGGACAGGTATGCCCACAACAGCAATGGAACGTGTGTCTGTAAGTATATTATGTATTGATAAAATCTAATCCAACAAATCTGTGCCAAACATTTCCATCATCAAAACATCTTAACAGTAAAGCGTCAAACAGTATTAATGCACAACTTTCACATACAGTTTACGGATGAAAGATTCACTTTGTATTATGCCTCTGCTAAATATACTGACTTATAAACAAACAATACTAGTCTGTTCTGTGACATTAATATGGATGATAATATGTAAGGGAAAGTGGTTTATGAATGTTGCTTATATTTATAATACCAATATAATTCTTTGTGTAAGATACAAATTGTTTACAAATAGTGGATAAATGGGGCACACCAGGTAACAATTGAAGGGGAATCTGATTTCACAGGAAGGCATTTCTGTTGTGATACAAGTTGTTCCCATTGGTGAAGGAATGAATAACATCATGAGAAACAAAACCCAGAAACTGTGATGTTTGAAAAGATGTGAAAAGCCCCCTGGAAATGTTTTGATAATGAACTTGTGAATGTCTCCAACAGGTAAGACTGGTTCCCAAGTGAAGCAAGAGTACAGCATTGGCTTCAACGGTCCCTGTGACCCTGGTGACGACTATCTCAAGACAGAACTGAGGGATGCAGCGCTGCGTTATTTAGCTCGCTATGGCTTATGTCTCACACATCATTGTCAATTTACTGACCTCACTATCAGGTGTATTGAGACTGGCACCAAGAAACGTTGGTTCAACACAAAGCAGTTCCAGCTCAGGTGGAACATCACTTACAATGACTGGTATGTGTTTGATAGAGGACAACTGGGATAGGTTTGTGTTAGATGTGGTGGAGGTTTCACTATACAGACTGTAAAACTTGGATTATAGGGACAGTAAAACTTGGATTATACAGACTTTAACCTGGGGGTTATGTGGACCTTAAACTGGAATGATATGGACAGTAAAACTAGGACTATACAGACAATAAAACTGGGATAATATGGACAGTAAAACTTGGATTATACAGACATTAACCTGGGGGTTATATGGACCTTAAACTGGAATGATATGGACAGTAAAACTAGGACTATACAGACAATAAAACTGGGATAATATGGACAGTAAAACTTGGATTATACAGACATTAACCTGGGGGTTATATGGACCTTAAACTGGAATGATATGGACAGTAAAACTAGGACTATACGGACAATAAAACTGGGATAATATGGACAGTTAAACTTGGATTATACAGACAGTAAACCTGGGATAATATGGACAGTAAAACTAGGACTATACAGACAATAAAACTTGGATAATATCCACAGTAAAACTTGGATTATACAGACAGTAAAACTGGGATAATATGGACAGTAAAACTTGGATAATATGGACAGTTATACTAGGATAATATGGACAGTAAAACTAGGATTATACAGACAATAAAACTGGGATAATATGGACAGTAAAACTAGGATTATATGGACAGTAAAACTAGGACTATACAGACAGTAAAACTAGGATTATATGGACAGTAAAACTAGGATAAAATGGACAGTAAAACTAGGATTATACAGACAATAAAACTGGGATAATATAGACAGTAAAACTGGGATAATATGGACAGTTAGACTAGGATAATATGGACAGTAAAACTAGGATTATACAGACAATAAAACTGGGATAATATGGACAGTAAAACTAGGATTATATGGACAGTAAAACTAGGACTATATGGACTAGTATTATACTAGACAGTATAAACTGGGATTATATATGGACAGTAAAACTAGGACTATTGATGTCCAAGAAACTTGGATAATATGGACAGTAAAACTGGGATAATATGGACAGTTGGACTAGGATTATATGGACAGTAAAACACAGGACTATACAATGTCTTTCAGTAAGTCATTTATGTAAGTTGTACAGTGATGTTAAAGATATTTTTAAGGATTAAACTTAGTTTTAATTTCTCTCACAACCTTTCGAGACCATTCCAGGGTCCTTCATCAAAGCACTAAGGTGATCGTAAGTCTACTAATGTAACCTTAGTGCAGTGTTAAAGAATGGGAGTTAAGGTTAACCTTAGTAAAGGTTGCTTGCGGAAGGTACACTCCCAGGTCCCTTCATCAGGTGAGTTTGAAGCAGTTAGGACATGATGATGAAATTCATAGCTAATATTAACACCTAATAATTACACTTAGCAGGCAGGTATACACCTTGATCAGTTCATCAAAGTTCAATCAAGAGGTAATTGCTGGTTTTGATGTCTCCTTATCTCTTACAGCTTCCTGTAGTTTTCTGTGGTTGCTGAACACAAGTCATCAGTATGCAAACAAAATGATAAGTCAGCTATATCGGAGCACAAGGCAAATATCCCAAGTCATGTAATCATGTGGAACGATATTAGGGTGATTTCGAGAAATAACAATGACTGGCGTCGGGTGAAAACTACAGGAAGCTGTCGAGATAAGGAAACATAAACCAGCAATTAATCGTGATCAAGGTGTATACCTGCCAAGTGCATGGGACCTCTTGATTAACTTTTGATGAACTTTTGATGAACTTTAGATACAAGAAAAACGAGTCTACTATTCTTTTTTTGGAAAGCCTGCTATCAAGGAACCTTTGTGTTATTAGCAGTTGTTGTGTATTAGCATGAATTTCATCATTATGTAATTAACTCTTCAAACTCACTTATACAGTACTCTCCCTAGTGTACTGTGATGTCACTTGCATTGTGATCGCCATAACTCAGTTATGACGCCATAGTGACACGCCATAGTCCTAACTGCAAGTTAACCTGATGAAGGGACCTGGAATGGTCTCGAAACGTTGTGAGAGAAATTAAAAAGAAGTTTAATCCATAAAAATATCTAGGACTATACAGACCATAAAACCTGGAATATATAAACAGTAAAACTTGGATTATACAGACAGTAAACCTGGGATTATATGGACAGTAAAACTTGGACTATACAGACAATAAAACTTGGATAATATCCACAGTAAAACTTGGATTATACAGACAGTAAACCTGGGATAATATGGACAGTAAAACTAGGACTATACAGACAATAAAACTAGGATTATATGGACAGTAAAACTAGGATTATATGGACAGTAAAACTAGGATTATACAGACAATAAAACTTGGATAATATGGACAGTAAAACTTGGATAATATGGACAGTTAGACTAGGATAATATGGACAGTAAAACTAGGATTATACAGACAGTAAACCTGGGATAATATGGACAGTAAAACTAGGACTATACAGACAGTAAAACTAGGATTATATGGACAGTAAAACTAGGATAATATGGACAGTAAAACTAGGATTATACAGACAGTAAACCTGGGATAATATGGACAGTAAAACTAGGACTATACAGACAGTAAAACTAGGATTATATGGACAGTAAAACTAGGATTATATGGACAGTAAAACTAGGATTATACAGACAATAAAACTTGGATAATATGGACAGTAAAACTGGGATAATATGGACAGTTAGACTAGGATAATATGGACAGTAAAACTAGGATTATACAGACAATAAAACTGGGATTATATGGACAGTAAAACTAGGACTATACAGACAATAAAACTAGGATTATATGGACCTTAAACTGGAATGATATGGACAGTAAAACTAGGACTATACAGACAATAAAACTGGGATTATATGTACAGTAAAACTTGGATTATATGGACAGTAAAACTAGGACTATACAGACAATAAAACTGGGATAATATGGACAGTAAAACTGGGATAATATGGACAGTTAGACTAGGATTATATAGACAGTAAAACTAGGACTATACAGACCATAAAACCTGGAATATATGGACAGTAAAACTTGGATTATACAGACAGTAAACCTGGGATTATATGGACAGTAAAACTAGGACTATACAGACAATAAAACTGGGATAATATGGACAGTAAAACTTGGATTATATGGACAGTAAACCTGGGATTATACAGACATTAACCTGGGGATTATATGGACCTTAAACTGGAATGATATGGACAGTAAAACTAGGACTATACAGACAATAAAACTGGGATAATATGGACAGTAAAACTTGGATTATATGGACAGTAAACCTGGGATTATACAGACAGTAAACCTGGGATTATATGGACAGTAAACTGGATGATATGGACAGTAAAACTGGAATTATACAGACAATAAAACTTGGATAATATGGACAGTACACTGGTAAAATGATTGTAAAGCTTTAAACCTCAATTGAATGTACCGTAACTTGGGATGCATCTATTTTTTAAAGAGTGGTAAGTGGTTTAACTGGATATTGTACAATCAAGAATTATTCATTTTTCTTTCAGCACTGGTCTGAATGGGCATGCCATAACCAAGGACTTGGTCAATATTAAGCATAAATTGGAGGATCTGGCTTTGACCCTGAAGGTCAGCTTGGATGAGCAGCAGTACTCCACCATCCCTGGGAATGTGAGGGTGTCCACACCACACCATGCCTGTCTGGCAGACAAGTATCAGGGGAGCTGTGGTGAGTAGAACCTTTGCTCCTAATCAATGTATAAACCAGGTAATAGTAACATACTTGGGTGTCCTGGCCCTGATTTCCGAAACGAACTCAAGTTTTTCCTCAAATTTCACACTGAGTTTGACAATTTAAAACAGCTGAGTCGCAATTCTAAAACCCAAAATACAAAACAACTCATGTAACCTATCTACCTAATTCAAATTGTGTTTGAGTTTTATATCCATTTCAGTTTATTCTGGGAAATGCATTTTCCTGCTTTTTCTCAAATTTGAGTTAAAACTGTAACTAATTAAAAACTCAGACTTCAGTTTGTTTCGAGAAATCGGGGCCTGGTCCTCGGTGTCTGGCTGCATTATATGATCATTCAAGCTCATTCTCAGGGCTTGTCAAAATCATTCTACCAAATAAATCAATTCCACACAAAATTCTAAGACTTTCAGTTTGCCCTTGCCTCAGCACATTCCTTGCCTAGTGGTTTTAATAGCAGTGTAGACAGGCCATATGTTGATGCCCTACCACATTCAGTGTTATGTGCGGCTTTGTTGGTTAAGTAATTCAGTTGTAAATGTTCCAGGAAAGTCTCCACCTCCTGTCATGACAACAGAAGCTGCCATGACATCAGAAGAGATGACGTCTGCTGAGATCATTGTCTCATCATCTGCAGAAACCAAGGCAGCAACTGATGCAACGACTGAAAGGTCTAGACACATGACCTCTGAAGAGGTCACTGAAGATGATCTCGACTTGGTGACAATGGACGAGGTGACGGCTGAAATGACGGACAGCTTGGTGACCACTGCTCCAAGTATTGTTCGTTCAGAGGTGACAACTGCATCAGTTATGATCATTACTGAGAAAAACCAGGAGGTGCAAGTTGCTCGAGGTGAGTTCTCTTTCTGGTAACAGTTAGGTCACTCCAGATTAGTGATATTTACCTGAAAATTTTCCAAACTGAAGTCTTCAACTATTATTAAAGAAATACAAAGGGGATCTGGTTTTGGAGACAACTGAAAACAAATATAGTATAAGATAATAAGAGAAACAGGACAGGATTGTTATTAAGATTTAGTCTGTTTGTGTAGATTTGAAATTTTGACATCTCTAGACTATTGTTGGCCTTGTTTCTTCTGCAGGAAGGCCTTACTTTGAGGGGATGCCCCCAGGGGGAGTTGAAGTTCATGGAACTAGACTCCAACAGCAAGACAGTAAAGCTGTCCACAGACTCACTCATAGCTATGGATTCCTATGGCAGCCTACTCCCAATCAACTCCAACTATCCAATCACAGATGGCCACATCACACTGCCGTGGCAAGCCAATGGGAAATCAGGACAGCACACAGTGTTGTTCCAAGCTGAGGACAACTGGAAGCAGAAGACTACCTGTCAGTTCCAGGTGATCATCAATGGTGAGGACATGTCAGGAGTCAGCACTGGCGACACACACATGATGCTTCTCTCTTTAAAGGATATTCTTCAAGATGAGTATCATTCAGTTAGATATCTTTATGACCTGTCTGGTAATCCCAAGGCTTGTCACTTACATAGTGGACATATAGCTACAGACAACTTGTAGTTTGTTTATTTTCCTCATAGCTGAAAGATTAACCTGTTCTTGGTCAGCATGAATTCCTCTATGACATTTCATCTTTTGAAATGTAGAAAGGATAAGTTCATGAAATTACTTTGTTCTTATATTTTCGGACACTGCATTATTCCTTCTTGTGATCCCTGAGTGGAAACTCTTCTTATTAATCCCAGTGAAAACATATTCAATCATTATGCGAACTCCATTTCAATGATAAAACATGTTTTGTCTGTTTTTGAAGACTCCATCCCACCAAAGTTCACCTATTGCCCGAACATCAAGCCCATCAATACCAACCACCACCGCCAGAAAGTCACATGGAATATCCCAGTGGCCACTGACAATGTGGAAGTGCCAACAGTGACAGGGTCACACAAACCTGATACTGAGTTCAAACAAGGGTCCACCATCGTCAACTACACCGCTGTAGACAAGGCAGGCAACACAGCTGTATGCAACTTCACCATAATGGTCATTCAAAGTAAGCAGACCAATAACATCTGCAGCAAACTCAACATATAATTCTTTATGGTCTTCTGTCTCTATCATGGTCATAAATCCTATATTTTGCAGAATTTTGAAAAAAATGCATTGTAAAACTACAACATTTTTTGATACTTTCCTGTGAACCACTTGTGTTATTGTACCTACATCTAACCATTGACTTATAGCAGAGTATATGGTCTCTGCTTATAGTATTGAAAAACATTGAGAGCAGATATCATCCAGCTGAATCCTAGTTACCTGGTGTGACTACATGACCTAAGGGCTGGAGAAATAACCAAATCACAAGTTTATGCTTGCACTAGCAAGATTTTTCCCACCTTGGATCCTGATTGGTGGTAATATTATCTCGAGAACTAGTTCTGTAAGGGTGACCGTGACTTCTGTTGAAAATTCTGAATATTAGTTTTTGTGTGATTGCAGCCAAAATGCTCATTAACAATTACTTTTCAACAATAAGTATTGTAAGATAGAAAATGCCAGGAACTGATGTTACAATGAATTTTTTCTCTGAAATGACTTGATCTTAAACATATGCTTGTTTCAGAACAAAGCTGTACCCTTCCTTCCATCGATAATGGTGCCTTTGTGTGTGGCCATGACCACACAAAGGTCGACAACTGCTACATTGCATGTGACAAGGATTTTGTCCTTCACCCTGTCATCACCTTCTCACGACCTTTCAACTGTATGGTGGTCAAGGACATAGTTCAGCTAACCAGCTTGCTGCAATATCACGAGCCATGTCTACGTAAGTCTGCTGTCATCTACTAACAATTATGTTTGTATAGTGAACACAAAGACATCTGAGACAACTTTTTCCTGCGACAGCTTTCAGATATGGGAGCAAATGTCCCAGTTGTCTGAGGTGCTGTGACTTGTTGGGTAGAGTTGCTAACCTTAGCTGCCAAGATCAATTTGGATTTGATTCCAAGATTGTTACTGATTATCATTCTTGGCAACATATACAGTTTGCCTGGAGAATGTTTGTCCCAGATTCGGGTTACACTGAGGGAAGATTGGACTGCTACAGCTAGAACTAGCAATAACATCACTTTCTTAACACAAAAACGTGAAATTCATTTAAATGTGGAATAGCAGAACTAACATCTTCTCTGATCTTTACAGTCCAGGGTCCCAGTTTAGCTTCATCAGAGTAATTACAGTGCTCAGCAACAATGAATGTGACATCAACAACATAAAGGACAGGAAATAAGTAAATAACATCCATGGTAAAGGAATGTTGTGATGTGTCTAACCATGCTCACTGAATGTTGTCCCCTGGCTGCAGGTAAGAGACGACCTCCAGTAGTGAGGCAGGAGTTCAGCCTCAGTTTCAATGGCCCCTGTGACCCTGATGACAACAGCCTGAAAGCTCAGCTGTCCGTATCAGTCTTGGAGTACCTGGATAACCTCAACCTCTGTCAGAGGTGCACCTTTGGGAACGTCACCATCCACTGCGGCCCCACCACCACAAAACAACGCCGCTACGTGGAGGATCAGTTTTATGTCAAGTGGAACATCACAATCGACAACAGGTACAGACACTGAAACTGTTTTAGAACATGACAGGATGTGGATTTTGTTTAGCACTTTTTTACTTGGCGTCATATTCATTATTTATTACTGTAGAGTAGGTATTATCAGTTTTTGTACTGCCATTGCAGAGCTTAATATCTGAGAAATATAGGTTGCTTTCGCTTGTTTGATACCAAATCATTAACTCGTATTACACGGAAGGTCGTTTAGTATCCAGCAGAATTGTTACATGTGACTTAACCTTCAGGTACTGTATGTGTTATGTTGAGACTGCGTATGCCACCATTGTCTGTGTGTTCCAGCAACCGGGCCCATGTGGAGTCTGTCCTGATGAACATCAACCTGATGCTGGTCAAGCTGGCTAACACCCTGTCCTTCAATGTGGGTGAACAGCAGTACACCTCTGTCCCAGGAGCTGTGCGCACCACTCCCCTGCAGTTGGTGTGTCTCACTGGTGCCATGCGCTATGATGAGGGTTGTGGTGAGTTATAAATATCTACATGTCTAGCTGATATTTGTATGTGAAGGAATTTACTGTTCTGTAAGTACAGGCCCCACCAACCACATCATCAGTTAAAGGTTTCACCACAATTTGAACAATTTCTGAGTATAAAATCACTTGAAATCATACTATGCAGAAACTCAAAGGACAATGATGGTAGGGTTGGTGTTTATCTGTTATTGCTTGATTACCCAACATATAACAGTAACTGGTATCTTCGCCTGCTCCTCACAGTGTCGTGCCCAGTGGGAACCCTACACAACACCAGCACAGGCCGTTGTGCTCTGTGTCCCCGGGGGTACTACCAGGACAAGGAGAGGCAGACTCAGTGCCAGCGCTGCCTGGAAGGATTCACCAAGGAGGAGGGTGCAGTGGGCCATCCTCAATGTAAGCAGCTCTTTCATGAGATCAGCTGGGAGGCACAGAATTAGGGCTAAATAGTGTCAGGTACATTAACAAGCTGATGCAGTGACATAGCAGGGCTAAATAGCTAGTGGTGGTATTGGTTTATTTGTATTCGCAGTATTTCTATCCTTTTTACTGGTGACTACAGAAAGTGAGTAGTCTTTCCAAGATATTCAGACAGTGCAGTAGAGTAATGTCCTCATGTCTCCTTTTTCTTCATGTTTAAAGAGGTTTGACAGATCATGGTGATCCTCTCATGCATGAGCTGATTCAGTTCTCATTGAAGGTGGAGCCATTGCTAATGCAATGATTGTTTCATAATAATAACAAGTAATTTAATCATAAATAACACTTCATTTCATTTTGTAGCTCCTATTTGTGAATCTTCACTATCATGTTCCAGGTGTATCGTTACCCTCCATTGATGAGATGAGTAAGTTCCTGATCATCACGGCCTGCACATTTGGCTTTGTGTTCCTGTGTATGGTCATCTTCATGTACACACAGTATCAGCGCCAACAGAAACAAGCCCGGAAGAGTCTTGCCCTCGCCAATGCATCACGATACATGATGCCCAACATCTATGTCGCTCCGCCACCGCTTCCAAAGTCTGAGTTCATTGAAAAGCCTTCTGACACCCGAGATTACCTTGGTTACCATGACTATGAAGATATTGATGGGGCTGCGAACACTAAAGCAACTTTTGAAGCCTTTTACCGCACCCCTCAGTCCCAGAGAGACTCCATGAACTCCTTCAAGACTGCAAGTGACATAGTGTATCGGATACCACCGTCGCCCTCCCCAAGGGAGTCATCAGGGACTAACTCTTTCAAGGCCTCTGATGACACATTGGTGCCCAATTCTCCACGAGAGTCTACAAAATCCTTCCGGTCAAATGAAGGGTTTTATAACTATAAGCCCCCTATGTCACCTCGGGCATCAACCAACTCATTCAAGTCGTCACCTGAGTCGCCCTATCGAAGCCCCCAGTCTGTGAGAGAGATGATTGGAATCCACCGCTCTCCACCAGAGTCTCCTTATCGGAGTCCACACATGCAGCGCACGTTCCGAGGATCACCAGAAACTCCACACAAGTCCTTCCGAGGATCACCAGAGATGCCCCACAGGTCCTTCCGTGCCTCCCCGGAAATGCCTCATCGGAGCTTATCAAACAATCGTGATGTAGTCATCATGCCCGGCACCTTCAAATCAAACATGGAGTCGCCCTATCGCAGTCCCAACCTGCCAAAAGATGGTCAAAGTTCATTCAAGCCTCTGAGTGATTCTCTGTACAAGCGCCCACCATCTCCTATCTCCCCCTCCACATCCAGCCGTGTGTCCAGTGATTCCCTCTACAGACCCCCATCTACCCCCAGGGCATCCCCCAATGCTTCCCGTGCTCGCCTTGAAGCCATGTTCAGGACCCCTCCATCTCAACGGTCAAAGAAATCCATCACCGAAAACAGTTGCTATGAATATGAGTAGCTCTTTCTTTGAACTTTGAAAAGTGTAGATGAAAATATTCTTCCATTTTGTCTTGGAATAATGACAACTCTTTAAAGTGCAATTTGGTCAGATACATTGAACACCACAGTGGTCTGTTATACTCAAAGTTCCTCTTAATGTGTTTGAAGTAAAAGTCTCTTGGGGAAAAGAGGCTAAAGTTCTTAACTCTTAAGGTGAAGGTCTCTATGTAATGGGAGATTATGAAGTCTGTGTCTGTGACTTCATCTGTTAGAAGTGGGGACAGTTGTCACAAAGGATATGGAATCTCTGTGTTACACTGTCATTTAGCTGTCATTTATCACAGGAATACTTCAATGCAAGTATTGTCTTGCCCAGATTTGATGTATATGATGATGATGATAATTATACTTATTTATGTACATATCTTTTGTTGCCAAGTGGCACTAACAAGAAGTTTGTTATTCAGGATTTTTCATACCTGGATGTATTGCCAATAAAAATCATTCATTTTTCACTAAACCACATCAGGATTTCAAAAAGACTTTTTCATTATTGGGCAAGGTTATTAGATATAAACCAGTTAGTAACCTCAAAGTGATGTTTAACATGATACATGTATATTGTGTTGTTGTGTTGAAACTTTATGAAATGAGTAAATAATTTGTTTTCTGTCAGTAATCCTGAAAAATCGTTGAGGGGGACCCCTTGTTTTGGTGAAAATATGAGCCCCTATGGTTTGTAAACTATTAGTTTGTCTATAAAGCAGGACAAAATGCCTTGGTTTAAATTATTCATTGTTGCTGCAGAACCATTTTCTTTTAGCCTTTACAACCCCAGTATATGTATATTTCTGTCTTTCTGTCTTTATCTTGTATTTGATTTACTGATCGATATTATCTGCATTGAATCATCACTGCACATTTTGAGAGAGTTTACAATGTTTTGATATTAATGTTTAGTCCATTTGGCACAATGTTGGCCAATCATTATTGTATCCATTGCAATGGTGAGCAACTTATTTCATCCTATTATATTACATAAGAATCATGTGATCATACATACAAGACCATTGCTGACAACAAAACTTGATGACAATACTTGTTAAGGGCACATATGCAATAATAAAGTGCCCTCAATGAGTATATCCATCAGTGGTATGACACCACACACAGCATTTAATTCAGTGTTTTTCAGTGTAATGACAAATTGACAAGAACAATACTTGGCTTCCATGGGGATCATCTCAAAAATGAATGTTTCATTTCTGGTGTTGTATGCTGTATTTGCTTGACTTGAATTTATAATTTAAATTCAGCTACAATTTAGTGTTTGGAATTTCTCTTGAAACTATTTTTAAAAAATTAAGGATCAATTAAATGCATCTGAAAAATGAGCTATAAAGTTTTGATTTGATTCATGATATCTACTGCGTCATTACGCGCCTTTGTATTTGGTACAGAAAGATTTTTACAGTGTAAGATAAGTGAACTTGCTGCTAAGAAATGGATTCATTTGGTGTGTGCTATTTCTTACTAGAAACTGAAATATGTGTTTAAAAGTGTTATGCTTGTGAGGTGAGGTGAGGTGAAATTGGGTTTAACGTCGTGCTTGAGAATATTTCTCTCATATGACGACGTGCATGCGTGTGTATGTGTATGTGCGGCTGCTTGTACTAGCCCAGACGTAAGCTGGTTTTATAGTGCTAGCCCACTGAGATACGACGCCGCAGTGAAGCATGAATACCCCACTCAGACACATTATACTGACTCCGAGCCGACCAGTCCTTGTTGTACCCATTAATGCCGAGCGCCAGGCAGAGACCAACAAGTACCATATTTTAACGTCTTTTGGTATGACGCGGTCGGGGATCGAACCCGCGACCTTCCGCTCTCCGGGCGGACGCTCTTACCACTACACCACGGAGGCGGTCGTTATGCTTGTGAAAGGCATGTTGGTGAGAAGCACAGAATCATAAACAAAGGCTCAAAAGTTTCATTATTTACAAACTGTGTATGTAATGAAATGCTTGTGACAAGTGGTTTGTATGTGCACAATGTAAGTATGTGTAGCACTGTGGTTGTGCGACGCTGTTGTGACGAGGTACTGGACCGAAGCAATGTCTGTATGTAGGACGTCAGTGTCTTCATCTGCTGGGGCAAAACATGTTTCGTGCCTTTGGTTCAAATCATCACTTTTGTAACATTTTATCATTTAAAGATGCTCAACTAGCATATTTGAGGACAAGTTACGTACAGATTTAATCTTTCCTGGAGCTCTGATGGTCACATGTTTCTACATATTACTGATAGTGACATGGTATTGTATGTACATTATAAAATATTGGTGATATTCACACTGATTAATACTATGATACTTGTATAGAGAGGTGTTCTGTTCATCAAATGAAACATACTGATATCAATCATCATATCAACTTGATACTAAGATGCGTATTAGACATCAATCAAGAACTGATAGCTAGACTAGCATCGGAAATTAGCAGAGGATGTCTACTTGTACACAGTGACACCTACCATGTTGGGTTACATTTACATTTAGTTAATGCATGTCAGGTTCTTACAGGGATGGTTTAACTGGGGAAAGGAAGGAAAGAAATCAAGACAGCACAGCATACATCTTGAATTGTTTGATTGTACTACATGTTTTATTGTAGTCCACATTTCCAGATTCTCAAGTCCTAGGCATCAGGCCTATTTATAACGTCATCTCTAAGATATCTAGAGACACACCACTTCCTATAGTGGGTTCCCCTAGCCCTACAGTGGTTGGTGTTGACATCAGTAGCACTGAGACATCATCTACATCCTATGCAAGCAAACTGCTGGTAGCTCTAGGTGTTTGCATCATCTCTGAAAGTCAACATTCAGACTGACAGTAACTGCAAGCCAGTTTTCAATGCAAACAGTTTTGATATATAGCTGTTTAAGTTGCCAATGACATGCATTTTATCATATTGATAATGCAATTTCATTATGAAAATTTTAGCAAACCCAGTTGGAGGTGCCCCTATTATTCTTGGGTTGTGTTTACAAAATACCAAGATGTCTAGAACTTTGTCTTGGAGAGGATTAGCTTGGACTACTTATGAAAAGTCCACACACGGTGCTGAGTGTTATGTTACCAAAGAGAGGGTGAATGCTTTTGATACAAATTTTGAGTAGAAATCAGGACATTATTTTGTGGTACTTCTGTAAGATATTCAGAATGAGTTTGTTCAAATGGAACAAAAAGACAGGATTACTTGAATGATGATTATTCTGCTTTAGGTGAGAAGTGTTGCTTTTATTTAAAAAGTCATGTCAGTTTCATAAATATTTCATGCTTTGGAAAATAAGAAGATATTGGTTGTGTTGTTACAGCCGTCATGTAGTGAAGGTTGTCATCATTGCAATATGTAATTAACCATGAAGATAACTTATTCATTTGTTACTTTCTATTTACAATGTGCATTCATCACATAATCAAGGATATTTATAACTATACAGCATTTCTTGTCCGAGTCTCCTTGTTGGTATATAGTTCTGAAATCTGATACAGTATAGTAATATGTATAAGTGGCTTTGTGTTATGTTTACTTAGTAAACCAAAACAATTGATGTTTATGGCAGTATTTAAATGGCTATTGTACAAGAATCTGCAATAAGCTAGAATGGTTTTCATTTTGCGGTGTGCAGCAATGTAACCTTGTGGAGACTGAATGTGTGTATATTGTTCTAGTTGTTGGCTGTACTCAATTCATGTGTTGTGCTGGAACCTGCCTGCCTGCAGCTAGACCAGGCATGTATGTAAATAAGTGACGTAGAATCAACTTGTCTGCCTCCTGGTGACCTCCTGGCAGTATCCAGGTCTTATGTAGTCTGGTGTAGCACTGGACATATTGGGATAACTTAACAATGATGTAAAGCTTCAGGATGCTGATCTACCAAAAAACAAGAGTTGTGTCAATCTAAGGGCATTCAATACAACTCTAGTCAGGGTCATGGTGATCAGCCATTTGAATGAGGGTCTTATATAATATTCAATACAGGAATAAAAATGTTGTAATTTTGAGAACTGTCTTTGTTCAGAGCGTACACTTAGGCAGGTGTACAGTTAAAGAAAACCCTGAAATAGAAGGCTAGCTTCAAAAGGTTTCTCTGTAAATGAACGTGATATGTGACTCAAGACTTAATCAACATTGCCATTTTGATGATAAGCTATGGAATCTTGTGCAAACTATTGTTGTAGCTGTTGTGACTTTCTCCAAGTTGATGGTGTAGTGTTGTACATTGTATGTCTGGAAGAGCAGCTGGGCTTGCTCGGTTGTACCACCACCTGTGTTCAGACTCAATACTCTAGTGTTCTGTAGACGTTACAGTATATATGTATTCCACTGGCCATAGAAGATTGGAACTGAATGGAAGTACACTGGTGATGTCTCTCATTTAACCTCTGTTTGATGCCAAGATTATGGAATATCATTTCTCACTGTAAATCAAAGAATATTATTTGATCATTATTACAAAATGTTGTTTATCATCAATTTTAGATTTGATTAATAAGATTTTAATATTGTTTTCAAATGTTAAGTCCTCAGTTTTTATGTTTTGTAATGTTATAGTTTGTGTACATGGAGTTTCATGTAGGTTGTTTATTAAGTGGGTTATTGGACGTTAGTAGGTTCATCATTAGTTGAGAGACCATCACTAATGTTTCCTGGAAATGATGCTTCTGAAATATCAATAAATTTTGAGACTTTCCATCCAACTCCGGGTTTGTTGTTGTAGCTGCTGAACCACAGAACACCAGATTCCTCAACACACATGCTGACACACATCAGCACCAAGCAGTTGGTGAAAGAAAATCTAGCACCAAAAGTGATATGTTAGTACCTTTAGAAGACACTCACTCATGGGCCTTAGTTTGTGGACATAACTATAACAGACAAATCCGTTTCTATAATCATGAGAAATATCTTCACTTTAAGGCTGGGTTCATTATACAATTCTCACTACAGACTAGCAGTTCTGGTATGTCCATGGAAAATATGATTTTATTTGGCCTTTATTGTGTGTTATATAATAGTTACTATAACGCGGGTGTCTAACTATGCAGGGGGTCATCCATGGACCCCAAGACCCGCATTATGGCGAGGGATGACTGTATATCATTAAAAGGGGAGCGTAACCTGCCCTGGTATGCAAAGGCATGTCAAGTGGTCACCTGAAAACGTATGATAACATTACATGTCAGCAGAATAGCATGGGACATTATTCTGATAATGATAGTCAAATTTGGAAATATGCTCCACACAGTTACTATAAAACTTTTAGAAAAGCTTTACTGTTAAACACTTTGAAAACTTGTACAGTTGAACAAGCTCCATCTAGGAAGAGCACTTGAGGTACAGCTGAACAAGCTCCATCTAGGAAGAGCACTTGAGGTACAGTTGAACAAGCTCCATCTAGGAAGAGCACTTGAGGTACAGTTGAACAAGCTCCATCTAGGATGAGCACTTGAGGGAGGTACAGTTGAACAAGCTCCATCTAGGAAGAGCACTTGAGGTACAGTTGAACAAGCTCCATCTAGGAAGAGCACTCGAGGTACAGTTGAACAACCTCCATCTAGGAAGAGCATCATGCGACTTGCTCAGGCTACAAATTTCAAATCCTCGGTCAAGTTTTCAAAACATTTCATTTGGGACCAAGATTATGCTCAGCTTTCTTTTATGAACACATCCCATCATCACTGTTTAAATGGCGATTACTGAGCAATCACTTCCTGAGGCTCTTTGAAATCTCTATAGAAAGAGCATGTATGATTGCACCGAAACAGTTGCATTGACGCCTAAGGTTGAAGCTGGTTGATTATATTAAACACTTAGTTTACTTTAATAGAACAGGTTTGAAAACTGCAACATATAAATGTGATAATATACAATATAAATATATGGAGACATATTGGACTGACCTGATGTGTAAGGTTCACTGTAAAGTTGACTGTATTAAATGTGTTATTTATAAGCACATCATAGATTGTTGTACTTTGCAATATTATTTAACAAACTCAACTAATTTATGGAAATACTTATCAAAATTTCGCTTGTCTGCCCATAAGTTATCAACTGAATGTGGAAGATACAAAAATATAAATGTAAATGAAAGAAAGTATATCAATTGTCATTTTAATACTGAAGATGAGTTTCCCTTTGTTTTGATTTGTCCTTTATATGTAAGCCATATTACTGAGAAAAATACATCTGTTTTTAAAGGAGAATACGAGTGAATTGCAATAATTTGCTGGGTGAAAGATAAAGTCATCAGAAATATATTCCCAAATTTTCAATTAAAAATTATGTATAATTATGTTTTAATCGCGAAAACAGTTTATGTAAATCTCAGCTTCGGCCATTATGCATTTTCGCTGGAACCCACGTGACCTTTCAGCTCGTGACGTCAAATGTGCCTGGAGTCCGCCATATTGCCAAAGACCAATCGCTACAGTAGTACAAATCGTGTTGTTTCTGTCGTTTTTTTAAATAGTACGATGGTGTATTGCGTTGCCTGGGGAAGCACGGCATCATCGAACATGGGAAAGAACCATCATTTCTTCCGTTTTCCAGGTGAAATGACAGATTTCGGCAAGAGAAATGCGCCGATCATTCCGAGTCGGACGCATATGGAAGAGACATACACGCACGGGGGTATGGAAATCCCCAAGCTAGGCTGCAGAAGGAAAAAATACCCACGAGATTCATTTATACTCCATCATTCCCTGTAACAACTTACTGTCAGTGGTATTTTTAACATAAATTCAATCAAGTCCGTTTGCCAGTCGAATTGCCCCAGCTACAAAATGACCCAGCAAATTTGGTCAAATTGCGCAAATTTGTAGTCAAAATGTCAATTTATTATGATGAATAAATATAGGCCATAAATGCATAGTCAACTTTGATATTATGTTCTTCATATATATATATACATGTTGATTACTTCCTAATAACTTTTATATGAAGAACACAATATCATAATAAGTTGACAAAAACTATACATTTTGCATATATTCAATCATTATAAATAAATTTGAACAAATAGGATGAATGACCAAATTTGTTAGGGCATTTTGTAGCTAAGTCCGATATATATATATTATCAAAATCAGTAAGAATTTCACATGAGCTTGAAAATGTTTTGCTATAATTTCGGTCTGGAGCCCTAAATGATGCAGTCTACTAGAAACATTGCCGAATACAACGGCAAATCATGAAGTACTTGTTGCTTTCATTGTTTTCCATTTTGTCCAATTACGCACGTCGGCATCAGACTCGCTATTTATCAGTAGTGTGTGCCGTGCAAGTTGTTCTGTATTCTCATTGGATGACAAGATGTCATTCTAAGGCTATAACCGAGTACAATAACTATTTTCATAACGAAACAATGGGGAAACATACGTTGTCCTGACTTGTAGGGCTTCAACGAGTCCATTTTCTTGGGCTCGAGTACTCGAGGGGCGAGACTCGACTCGGACCCGAGTACTCGAAATTCATACCTTTCAAGCAAACGATAACGTAACCGGCATCACGTGTTCCGGTCACAAAGTGAACACTTACATCATTCCGACTATATCGTCGTGTGACTAAAATTTCCTGTTGGTCAGAATCAGTACTTGGATGTTTACTTGCCAAATGTTGTTGTTTTTTCATCGTACTGGTTGTACTGCCTGCATAACGCAGTGATATACCGCACAGGCGGCATTTGGTTATTTTTCTCTTTTCACTGTCCAGATCAAGATACGCCCATACATTTGATTTTTTATCGTACGTTCTCCATGTCTATTAAGATAGTTACCTAATCATTTTAAGAAGTGAAATCTCACACGATGCATAATATTTACTCTCATCTGCAGACTTGTAACAACTAATACCACACAACCACACCTTATGAGGGGTAAACTATTTAATCTAGGTGTTAATAAAAACATTATCATATGGGTTAAAGAATTCAGGGTACATAGAACTCAGTATGTCAGTGTCAATGGCTATCAATCTACTTTTCTCTCAACGTCTACTGGAGCTCCACAGGGCTGTGTTCCTTCATCCGTACTTTTCGTTTTGTATACCAATGATTGTTACTTGTCAATAAATGACTTGTTTACTGTGAAATTCGCAGATGACGCCACTGTTACTGGCCTAATTTCCCATTCTGAACATTATTATCACCAAGGCATTGGCAAAACCGTAATGACAGTTTTTTTATCAAATCTTTATTGTGTTGAGCTACAATTTTCTATGTTGGTATGGGGGTCTGTCTGATCGCAACAAAAACAATTTTTCAAAATTGTTAATACTGCCAGCAAAATTGCTTGAGTGTCTTTCGAGTATATTCCCTTTATCTATGAGCGCCAGATTGTCAAAAACGCAACTAAAATTAGATTTGATAGTTAACACATTTTATCTCACCATTTTGAACTACTTCTTTCTGGACGCTGCTGTCGATTACCTTCCCTCAGAACAGAGCTCGACAGTCTTTCATACTATCAGGTATTCGTGAATGCAACAAATATTTTGAATTGTCATTATGTGATTACAACTAGAATTATTCAGCCTCTTTACCTTCATGGTTAATTGAATTATATCATGTCACTTTAATTGTGTAAATAGCTTTCGTTTTGTGCATGTAATTATTGTGTACATTTTTGTGAACTGTGTACATATTCATTTTGAGACAGTTTGGATGTATAAGATTTCCTTCGGGATAATAAAGTTATATCTTATCTAATATCAGACGTTAACGGCCGCTCATGCTTTGCACATGGCAGACAGACTATCTCTCAACGTAACCCAATAATTCGAGTTATCTCCCCTTTTCGAGTCCTCGAGTCCTAGAAAATGGACTCGAGTCCAGCTAAACCCGACTCGTCCTCGAGTACTCGAGTACCCGTGGAAGCCCTACTGACTTGTATTTTATAATTAACCAGTTTTCGGGGAATAAGTTATCTGCGTCGCGAATATTATCTCTGACTTGATGCTTTATTAATGAGAACTAGGATCCTAATTTTTTTTCAACAAAATAATTCCAGTGTAATTTTTGAAGGAGGTATTTTTTATTTTCCCTCGTCTGAAGCATAATTATTTTGGTTTTAAATCCCAGACAACCTACAGTCACCCATTTGACACAAAGTGAACTGTAATCACATTCTTAAAAAAAATAAATCTTTGTGACTGGTCATATATACTAGCCACATGCATTGTCAAAATATTATCCCAGTTGATAAGTACGATAACAATGTCAAAGGTACATATAAACTTTAATGGAGGGATCATGAGGCCATAACAAGTCGGGAGAATTTCAATTGAAAAGTCAAGCACAATGACGTCACGAGTCCACAAGCGGGACAGGGGTCAAACGACCATGTCACAAGCTCAATAACGGGTATGTCCACCATCGGCATTGAGAACAGCAGTGCATCGACGACGCATAGATCCTATCAAACGTGCAAGGAAGGCTTGTGGGATGTCACGCCAGATTCTCTCAAGTTCTGTTGCAAGGTCAAGGACGTTATCTGGTGGATGAGGAAGACGGCGTAGACGTCGAACAATCTCGTCCCAAACAAGCTCTATCGGGGAGAGATCCGGTGAATTTGCAGGTCAAGGCAGTAAGTCAACGTTGTGGCGTTGGAAGAAATCCATAGCAACCCTTGCCGTATGAGGGCGGGCATTGTCCTGTTGGAATGTTAACCCAGGGCCATGACGTTGCAGAAAAGGAATT